ACAGATAATTATGCACATAGAAAACCAAAGAAATCTACAGAGGATTTATTAGAATCACTTACTATATTAAGACTAGCTAGGTTTAAACCCAATATACAAAAATTAATTGCTTTTCTATCTACCACTAACAATTACAAAATGAAATTTACATAATGATACTATTTATAACACTGAAAACATCAAATACCTAGGAATGAATCTAATAAATGCTTAGGGCCTCTACAAAAAATATTGTAAAACAATACTGAGAAAAATAAGAAGTTTTTTTTTTTTTTTAAGATTTTATTTATTTATTTGACAGAGATCACAAGTAGGCTGAGAGGCAGGCAGAGAGAGAGAGGTGGAAGCAGGCTCCCCACTGAGCAGAGAGCCCGATGCGGGGCTCGATCCCAGGACCCTGGGATCATGACCTGAGCCGAAGGCAGAGGCTTTAAAAAAATAAGAAGTTTTAAAATAAAGGAAGGGCTAACTTGCATTCATGATGGGAATTCAATTGTAGAGATGCCAATTCTCCCCAAACTGACCTATTGAGTCAATACAGTACCAATCAAAATCACAAGAGATTTTTGTTAGTTTTTTTTTAAAACTTATCAGGCTTGGGGTGCCTGGTGGCTCAGTCTGTAAAGCACCTGCTTTGGCTCAGTTCATGATCTCAGGGTCATGGGACTGAGCCCCGCATTCACTGGGCTCCCTACTCAGCAGGGAGTCTCTTCTATTTCCGCCTCTGCCCCTCCGCACTGTTTGTGTGTGCTCGCTCTCAAAAATAAATAAATAAAACTTTTAAATAAATAAATAAAACTTAGCAGGCTCATCCTAAAATTTACATGAAAATACAAAGGGCCTTGGCAAGGATGTGGAGAAAACGGAACCCTCATGCACTAGTGGTGGAAATGAAAACAGACATAGCCACAAAAACAGTATGAGATGCCTCCAAAATTAAAAACAGAAATACCATATGATCTAGTAATTCCACTACTGGGTACTTACCGAAACACTAGTTTGAAAACACAAAAGGCCAAGCATAGATAAGATAATCTTAAAGATGGGAGGGACTTGCTCTACCAAATACCAAGGCAATTTAAAAGCTATAGCAATTAAGACTGGTGGCTGGTGTTAAGAAAAGGCCAGTGAGGGGCGCCTGGGTGGCTCAGTGGGTTAAGCCGCTGCCTTCGGCTCAGGTCATGATCTCAGGGTCCTGGGATCAAGCCCCGCATC